AAAAAACCCATTGAACGACGTAGTGGGTGATCTCGGGGACATCAATGGTGCTGCTGCAGTCATGGAGGACAATAATGTGTGTGGTAATTTAGTGGTGGAAGACAGTACTGCAGTCATAGAAAACAGTAATGTATTTGGTTCCGATGATTGCATTTGCGAGCCAAAGAGTCGAAAGTTTGAGTGATGTTATTGACATGTTCTTTCAGTTCGGAAATCTTGCCAAGGATCTCGTAGTATATGGGATCATCTACGAGGTGACATCTTCTGCTCCTGATAGACTATAACTCTTCAAAAATAGCCTCATCCACCCACTTGAATATTTATGACAAGGTCGAAATTATTGTGCGTATATCTATAAGTTAAGTAGCAACGTAAATAAACTTACCTCAGCATTAGAACATAGGTAGTAACGTCTACCTAAGTTAGACTCTGTTTTGGATATCTCAATGACGAGATCCATACCACACCAGTAACCAAAAGTAATCCCCTTGATGCAGTATGAGGCCATGTCTTCTGAATTGATTGATGAAGGAGGTGAATAGCTCGGCTGAATGTAGCTGTAAAGACCCATGATGTTTAGTTTTTGAGAGCTGTGATAAAACTAAAGGAGAGAATAAGATAGACGTTATGTGAGAGAGACGTTAATTATAGAAGTGTTGTTGGAGTTGGTGAGTAAGAATAGTAGTAATAAAATATGTGGACAAACTTTGAAGTTGTGGACCCAAAAAATTTGAATAAGTACACATATATCTATGTAACAGAGCTGATGTGATTAGGCAACTTTTGGACCTCGAGAAAACAAAACATTGCATATGTGTGAGATTAATGGAATACATATAAGACGCATAACCTAAATATGGTATATTGATAGTGTGGACAGAAACATAGCTGAAAATATTGTCCTCGGCAACAAATGAAGGACAAGTACGAAAAACAGCCCAATAATACTAATAAGTTGTGGCAGAACATAGTACTTTAAAAAGTAGGGGAGAGAAAGAGAAGTTTTGTAGCGTCCGTGAATT